GATCTCTGCATCCAGACTTTTTATCAATTCCACTGCATTCCAAATCGCGAATATTTCAGCTTGGAAAACACTACAGTTGCTATCCAGCTTGTAGGTAAACTCAGGTCCTAGGCTTTCACAGTAAACGCCAGCCCCTGTACCTTCTTCCACCTTGGATCTGTATAGAAAGCCAGGCCGTCCAGAGGAGGGTTACTCCGGTTCCAGTCGTCTGTACTAGGAATAACGGCATCTACACCGTCAACGTACAACCATGCACAAAGATACAACTTCCCCAAAGATTTTGTTCATGCAGCCTTAAGGCACTACGCGCGGGCTGACATTTAATGCTGTGGCGTGCTCCCCGTGGCTCCTGTTATCGAGGCGGCTCTTTGTGCCTTATCGAAATATTGGTTTTAGGCGTAGTATATACCAATTTTAGTATTTTGGGGGCTTTGATAGAATTCTTATTGGATAGCAAATCTCTGCACAAAAAATTCGGATAGCCTCTATATAAGGTTACCCTCAATTTTCGGTATTTTAGGGTTCTTGAGCGCATTTTTCAACCGAATTCGCTGAAATTTGGTATTCTTTAAAAATCCACGCTTATGGAGATGTTGGTCCTTGGAAAAATATTCTTCAAAAATCCACGCTTATGGAAATTTTGATTCTTGGAAATATATCCGTTTGGTACAATTGTTGGTATAGCTATGTTCCCTATATTTTATTTTCAAGTAACCACCGGTACACCTATGATGGAGGGTATCCCAAGTTCGGCCCGTCCAAACTTAATGCCTTTCCTACTTGTTTTAAATTAATCGTTTCCTTTTTTATAAATTCTCCAAAATATAGAAAACCCTTGACTTATTTGCAAAATTAAATTAAGACAAATATTTGGTATATATAAAATAATTAGACCTCGGATTTTTGCATATTTTTTATGCTTTATCCGATTGGACTCAAATTTTGTATTTAGGCGTTTCATGCTTTATTTGATCGATATTTGGGGTCATGTCAAAAATATGCAAAAAATATGCAAAAAATATGCAAAATATATGCAAAAAATATGCAAAATATATGCAAAAAATATGCAAACTATGCAAAAAATATGCAAAATATGCAAAAAATATGCAAAATATGCAAAAAATATGCAAAATATGCAAAAAATATGCACGGTATGCTAGGTCGATATGCGATAAATATATGCAAAAAATATACAAAATATGCATTGTCGATATGCAAAATATGCTAAAATATGCAAAGTATGCAAAAATATGCAAAATATGCAAAATATATGCAAAATATGCAAACATATGCAAAATATGCAAAAATATGCAAACATATGCAAAATATGCAAAAGATATGCAAAATATATGCAAAATATGCAAAAATATGCAAAATATGCAAAAATATGCAAAATATATGCAAAATATGCAAAAATATGCAAAATATGCAAAATATATGCAAAATATGCAAACATATGCAAAATATGCAAAAATATGCAAAATATGCAAAAATATGCAAAATATGCAAAAAATATGCACGGTATGCTAGGTCGATATGCGATATATATATGCAAAAAATATACCAAATATGCATTGCCGATATGCAAAATATGCAAAGTATGCAAAAATATGCAAAATATGCAAAATATATGCAAAATATGCAAACATATGCAAAATATGCAAAATATATGCAAAATATGCAAACATCTGCAAAATATGCAAAAGATATGCAAAATATATGCAAAATATATGCAAAATATATGCAAAATATGCAAAAATATGCAAAATATGCAAAAATATGCAAAATATATGCAAAATATGCAAAAATATGCAAAATATGCAAAAATATGCAAAATATATGCAAAATATGCAAACATATGCAAAATATGCAAAAATATGCAAAATATGCAAAATATGCAAAAATATGCAAAATATGCAAAAATATGCAAAATATGCAAAAAATATGCACGGTATGCTAGGTCGATATGCGATAAATATATGCAAAAAATATACCAAATATGCATTGCCGATATGCAAAATATGCTAAAATATGCAAAAATATGCAAAGTATGCAAAAATATGCAAATTATGCAAAAAATATGCACGGTATGCTAGGTCGCAATATTAAAGATAGAACTTTGAAATTTTGCACATATATTATTATTACTCCTAGGATGTTTGGTATTGGAAATGGGATATATCGGTCCACGTTTTAGTATATCGCCATATAACGGTTATATATGTTTGCATGTTTTATACATATATTTAGCAAATTTTTCATAATGCCCCAAAAATCTAACAGTTGAACCATGAAACGCATACATACACAATTAGATTTCTATAGGTTAAAAATAAAGAAAGCACACAAATTCGAAAACTACCATGAACATTTTTTTTGTTGATTAAAATGATTGTATATGTGAAATATGTTGCTTATAGTTGCACATATTTTTGCCTATATTTTTCATATTTTTTGCATATTTCTCGCATATCGACCTAGCATACCGTGCATATTTTTTGCATATTTTGCATATATTTTGCATATTTTTGCATATTTTGCATATGTTTGCATATTTTGCATATATTTTGCATATGTTTGCATATATTTTGCATATTTTGCATATGTTTGCATATTTTGCATATATTTTGCATATTTTGCATATTTTTGCATATTTTGCATATGTTTGCATATTTTGCATATATTTTGCATATTTTGCATATATTTTGCATATTTTGCATATGTTTGCATATTTTGCATATTATGCATATGTTAGCATATTTTGCATATATTTTGCATATGTTTGCATATATTTTGCATATTTTGCATATTTTTGCATATTTTTGCATATTTTGCATATGTTTGCATATTTTGCATATATTTTGCATATTTTGCATATATTTTGCATATTTTGCATATGTTTGCATATTTTGCATATATTTTGCATATGTTAGCATATTTTGCATATATTTTGCATATTTTGCATATTTTGCATATATTTTGCATATTTATTGCATATCGACCTAGCATATTTTGCATATGTTTGCATATTTTTGCATATTTTGCATATTTTGCATATATTTTGCATATTTTTGCATATTTTGCATATGTTTGCATATTTTGCATATATTTTGCATATTTTGCATATGTTCGCATATTTTGCATATTTTTGCATATTTTGCATATGTTTGCATATTTATAGCATATCGACCTAGCATACCGTGCATATTTTTTTGCATATATTTTGCATATTTATCGCATATCGACCTAGCATACCGTGCATATTTTTTGCATATTTTGCATATTTTTGCATATTTAGCATATATTTTGCATATTTTATGCATATATTTTGCATATTTATTGCATATCGACCTAGCATATTTTGCATATGTTTGCATATTTTTGCATATTTTGCATATGTTTGCATATTTTGCATATTTTTGCATATTTTGCATATTTTTTGCATTTTTTGCATATTTTAGCATATATTTTGCATATTTTATGCATATATTTTGCATATTTATTGCATATCGACCTAGCATATTTTGCATATTTTTTGCATATTTTGCATATATTTTGCATATTTTGCATATTTTGCATATATTTTGCATATTTTGCATATTTTTTGCATATTTTGCATATTTTGCATATTTTTTGCATATCTCGTGCATATGCAAAATATGCAAATATGCAAAAAATTAAAAAATATGAACCCTTCAAATAATTCTAAATCCTTTGAAACGAATTTGTGTCCAATCAGAATTTCGATATCTTCATTATTAAAAAATATGCAAATATGCAAAATCCGAGGTCTAAAAATAATTAAGCAAATTCAGAACAGAACGCCATTTTTTTCGTGTAAATAAAATGTAAATATATACATATGTAGATTCTACTTATTTGTATGATTCAGAGTAATATAACAATAATAATTATATACCCTTTTTAATGAACCAACCAACGAACTGTAGTTGTAGTACTTATATCATTGTATGAGTTTTGAGAAAAAAAATTAAATAAAAAAACACAAACATATCGTGGATTTTGTTTAAGCGAAGTACGACGACAAGCTGTATGACGACGGCGACAGCTCATATCATCTTATTGTAGGTCTTTTTAATTTAACCGTAAGAAGATTAGCTGCTGGAGAAAATTTATTTAAAACGAGAGAAAGAGAGAGGAAACAGAAAAATAATAATAAAAAAATATATTTCAAGCGCGATAACAAAAAAAATTAAAATAAACTTGTTTATTGCTAAATACAACAAAGATATGAGGATGAAAGGAGGGTAAAAACATGAGAAGAAAAAAACTGCGTAAGAGCAGGCCAATTCGTTTTAAACCACATGTATGCGAAACGCTTTAGATAAGATTAAGCGACATTATATAGGCAAATTGGTACCATTCAATGTCAGCCACCACCACCAACCAAAAGATATGAATTTTGAAAATCTTAAAAAATATTCAAACAACAATTAGTAAAAAAAAAAATACAAATGTTAGAATTTTTGTGAGACTCACCATTATTTTTCTTTATAAAGAAGAAAATAACAATAATTTCCAAATTGTATATAGTTGTAGGTAGTATTGGAGTGTTATATCCAAAAATTTAAATTTCGTTGTTACAGAACGAAGTTTTTGGGTTGAGTTTTTTATACATATTTATATAGGTATAGGTATATCATCGTTAAAAATTGAAGATACAAAATGTAAAAAACATTTTGTTGATTTTTAGAAATAGTAATATTAACAACGGCAACGTTAAACGTTTGTATTTAATATTCTGTGTTCGACTTGGGGTGATTTCCTTTGAAATTCGTATCCTCTTTATAATAATCCTGCTGGGGTTTGCTGCTCCAAATATGCTATGCTCATCATTTTGTTTTTCTCACCACCCACACCCAACTGCTATCATCACCATTTCCTCCAGATGATAATGGTTGTGGTGCCGTTGCCGCTTCTCCTCCTCTCGCTGCTGCTGATCTGTTTACTGTTCCACTGCCCAATCCTCTTCCCACTCCACCTCCTCCTCCTCCACCGCCAGCTCTTTCCCTTGTTTTCTTTAAATATCAATTATGACTAGAGTTTAAATGGTTATTGGTCTCTGTTGCCGACAAAATACTGCTATCTCCATAGAATTTAGGCTCATCATGTTGTTCATTACCGCTACCATTTGTCTCATCTTCCGAATCATCATCACCAGATGATTCATTATTGGCATTGTTGTGTGCAGCTGCTGCATCTTTGTTATTGGCCGTTCCCGTTGTTGCCGACGATGAGTTCAACGAATTCGACGATGATATCTTGGCCGATTCCTGCTTAACGGCATTGCTCAAACGTTCATAACAACTGGTGCATACCCTTTGGGGTTTGGAACTTTGCTGGGGCAGTAGGAATTTCTTGGATGAACATGGTCCACAGACGACGGCACCACAATTACGACAATGATGGCGTCTCACAATCATGGTGAATTGCGTCTTCTTACAGTGCATGCAGATGACGGCCTCCGCATCGGGTACCCATACGGCAGCATGCTTTTCCACTGGCTTCTTGCCCGATTTCTTAAGCAAATCCTCCACACACTTGTTGATATGCGCCATCCATTCCTTCTTTTCGGTTTCGGTGGCCGCACACACAATAAACGATTTGGTGGTGGTACGTATCAGCCAGGCATTACGATATTGTATGCAATCGTCAATGTTCTCCAATGAAACCTCTTCCAAAGGCATTATGTGTTGTTTGTTGTATTTCTTTTTGCCAATAACAATGTTGCCATAGACCAGAATATCGTTGAACAGGAAAAACTGGCGAGATTTTGGTCGTTTGCGGCACATTTTGGTTAAGACACCCTCCCCCACCAAGACACGACCGGGGACGGCCAGTGGCACACCTGCACCGCCAAAACAATTTTCCACAGTGGCAATACGCCTGGTGTTGGCTTCGGAATTTACTAAACGATCAACCATTTTGGGTGTGTGTGTGAGTGTTTGTTTAACTGTGATGTTACGGCAAGTTAATTATTATTTTATACTCTATTTTAAAATATCAAAAATTTATTTAATTAAATTTGCTATTTGAAAAAATTCCAAGAGTATTTTTTACGTTTCTTTTGTTATTTGTCTTTCTTTTGTCGTTTGGAACAGCGACGACGACCGACACAACTACGCGACGAACGGAAGTGATTATTAGTTTTGTTCGAGAGTATTTTCACACGTATTTCTTCTTTTTACTTTGTTGTTCAGTTGATTTTCTTTGCATTTGACGTTTGCATTTTTGTGTTGTCTTTACTTCTCTCCTCCTTGGTTTCTTTTGTTCCGTTACTTTTTTCAATAATAAAAATTAATTATTCTATAAAAAAATATTAAACTACACATTCACGTATAGATTGTTTTGCGTTACAATCCTCACTCGAGAGTTTTTAAAAATTCGACGGACTTCGTAAGACGTTTTGTGCAACACAACAAAATAGCCATACAGTCGGCCAGTCACTCAATCATTCGTTTGCTCGCTAACTCAACCATAAGAAGCACACAGAGGACAGACAGACAGAAAGGCACAAATAAAACGGGGAGAGTCGGTCGACGAGCCGAGTCTCTGTTGATTGTCAAATTGCTGCTATTGTGTATTTCTTCTTGTTGTTATTGTTTGTTTTCTGGGTGTGTGTGTGATTCGTACATTTTTTGTGTTTTAAATGCATCAAGTGTTGGTAAACGTAAAAATAACCACAAAAATCGTCGTAAAGCGTAAACAAATAACAGTGTGTTATCGGCGTAAATTGATGGGGAAATTTTGTGCGAAAATTTTCGCTAATAAACTTAAAGGGAGCTGACTACAAAAATAAAAATATTAAATGTTTTTTATGAAAAATATCTACAAATAAGTATACTTATTTGAATATTATAAATGGTTGTATGCATATTTTTAAATCAGAAACAACAAATAAAATGGAATTGGAAATCCTATTGATAACGATGTTGCCGAGTTTGATGCAATTTGGTGTCGAAATAAAGACATTTTGTGTGAGGATCTGTCTCTCCAGAAAAAATATTTAGCCTTATTCTGGATGTCAATTGCACGTGAATTTATCCCCTTCAACTTATTCTGAACAACATTAGCATTTCCGTTTTCGCCTTTTTCTGAATCAAGTTCGAAAGCGACAAAATACGCTTTGTGGGAAAATTAGTTATTCTGGATTTGCAGGGAGTGGGAGAATGTGATGGCATTTTGTGCGAAATTTTTCGCAATAAGGATTTTTAAGCCAAGTTTTTAGTGGAGAAATGTTGTACCCAATAAGAACCCATTGTACAAAATTTCAGCGAATTTGGTTAAAAAACGCACTAAAAACCCCCCAAAATACCGTAAATAAGGGATACCGTTATAAGGTGGCTACCAGAAAAAGTGGACCTATATTTATAATTTGTAGTGGAGACAAAAATAACCCAATGTACCAAATTTCAGCGAATTCGGTTTTAAACGCGCTTAAGGACCCTCCAAAATACCGTAAATTGGGTGTGCCCATACGAGGGGTCTACGATCCGAACGACCCGAGTCTTACTCGGTCAACGTCTGTCACCTGAGCCCATTGTATAAAAGCAATAGGGCTGCTACAACAACAACTTAAATTACAAAATGACAACACGAATCTTTTTTCAACCACAAATTTCGAAAATTCGAATACGCATCTCGCATATTTGTTTCTTCCTATTCATTCAGAATAAGGCGAGAATGTGAAAGCGATAATTTTTCACATGCGAGATCTCTCTCTTGCGTATATCCAGAATAAGGCTGTATAAATTTTAGAGGCAAGGAACTTTAAATTATTTATAAATGATTTTGATATTTTTCATTGTAATTTTGAAAGCTGAATGCTGTCAAAGGCAAATTTATGAAAAAAATGGAAAGTTATGACTGCATGAGACTACCTTGTATTATTTGCCATGATTTTAACCTCATTTTGTTTATTTTCTGAATAAGACCCTTAACTGCAAATTCGTTTTCCCCACTCCATTTTTAAATTTCACAGGTATTCATAATGGAACTAAGTTTTACTGGTGGAATGACTGCTGAACTGTTCTGCAAGTCGCGCATCATTTAACATTCAATTTTTTTTAATATTATTTGAAGGTTGTGGAGAATTTCGTTTGGATCAAATTTATTTTTAAAATATCCAATAAAATATATTTATAGGAATTCGTTTTAGAATATCCAAGTCGTAAGGGGAATTATTTGTAATTGTATATGAATTTTATATAATTTGGTTCAATTAAAAAGAAAATAATGAAAAAAAATAAATTAAATAAAAAAATGAAACATACTTGTCCTAACGTCAATGTTCTCTTACGCTCTCATTTAGTTATACGTGTTAATACGCTTTACAACACTACATTTTCAAAATGGAAGAGTAAACATTGCACCATCAATCTACTCTCCTTTGCTCTCACACACCAACGTACGCGATATTTGTCAAACAAAAGCAACAACAACAAAAAATACACACACAAACACAGGAAAATTGAATGAACGGTCTATTGTTCTTCTAGAAAATCATCAACGTCTTGTGTGTGCAAAAGCAGCAATAACAACAGCAACTAGTGAGTGAATCACAATAAATATGCAGCAAACAGCAGTACTTTTTATAATTTGACTGATTGATTTATAGTACAAAACAGTTATTAACTATATTTTTATGCATATTACACTGGAGTAGAATCGACGACAGTGGATAGAAAAGAAAGTCGAAGACAAGATAAAACCAAAAAACACAAATAAACAACAAACAAAAAATATATCGGAGAGTATCGAAATATTCAAGACACCAACGGACAGAAAAGCAACACAAAACTAAAAAATTATATACGAAAAAGAGGAACACAGAGCAAGAAGAAATATATTGAGGGAGGCAAGAAAGCAAGGTAGCAAATGTCAGGTTGCGAATAGCAGCACACAGCTGTCAAAATAAAAACACAGTGGGGGAAAAAAGAAAGCAGCAGTTTGCAAAAATATTTAAAATGGAAAAAAATAAACAAAAATTTATTAACTATTTCCAACACCTTTGAGGATATCAAAGTTTTTTAAAAAATATTTTTTTAAAGACGCACACAAGGCGTGGATTTTTTAAAGAATATTTTTTTCAAGGGGACCAACACAATCGTGAATTTTTTTGAAGAATATTTTTTTCAAGGGGATTAACACATGGCGTGGATTTTTTAAAGAATATTTTTTTCAAGGGGACCAACACAAGGCGTGATTTTTTTTGAAGAATATTTTTTTCAAGGGGACCAACACATGGCGTGGATTTTTTAAAGAATATTTTTTTCAAGGGGACCAACACAAGGCGTGGATTTTTTAAAGAATATTTTTTTCAAGCCGTGGATTTTTTAAAGAGTGTTTTCAAGCCGTGGATTTTTTAAAGAATATTTTCAAGCCGTGGATTTTTTTAAAGAATATTTTCAAGCCGTGGATTTTTTAAAGAATATTTTTTCAAGGACGAACACGGCGTGGACAGTCGTTTTTTTAAAGAATACTTTTTCCAGGACCATTGCAGGCATGGTTTTATTAATGAATATTTTTTTCAAGGACCCATAAAGGCATGGATTTACTAAAGGACCAATAAAGGCATGGCTTTTTTATTCAAGAGAAAACAAACCCTTCCTCTGGTCAAAAGAAAATGTTTTTCACCCTACAATTATACGAAATCAATTTACAGCATTTTCGTTATGAAAAAAACATCACATTTCAAAAACGAAAATGGGACGGGAATATTTCCAGCTATGTAAATACGAAGAAATGTGGATTTACATTTTCTGCATTTCTTTTTTGCCCTTCATTAATGTGGAACCGATTTTATATGAACATAGATTTATATTCCGATCAACATATAAGCATTATTATTATATGCAGTCCCCTCCACTGAATATTTCGATGTGATGCAAACAAAATAACAAATTTTATATACACATAGACACAAAGTAGCATTTCAACAGGAATCTGTTATTTGTACGTTTCAAAATTGATATTTTTTGTTAATCGCAGAATATTTTCTTTAAAGATAGTAATGGTATATTCTCATCTAATCACCAAAAATTCCCTGACGGTTATTAAAAAAATCTTAAAAACACATGTCCACATAAATAACCCACGATTCACAACAGGATCATATTTTGTTAGTATTTGACATGCACATGTTAGTAATGTTCAAGGAGTAGGTATTAGGAAAACAGGGATAAAAACTACAAAAAATGTTGATAAGCACACACACATTTACAACACGCACACACTCCCACATATATGGACATGGATATTGAAACGAATAAAGTATGCTGTGTTAAATGTGAACGTGGTGCTTACAATTTCTACCTGTTTTCGTTTTTCCTCGAGCGCTTTATGTTTTGCCTCATCGTAATGTTTACGTTCGGCTAAACGTTTTTCGGTGTGCAATTTAAATGGACACTGCTGGATGACCAATGGTTTCTTTTCCGGGACAAAAGGTTTCTCTTTGAGGACAGTTGGTGGTCGTGATTCAAATTTGGGAGGTTGATTTTTTTGTTTCCATTCTTCCAGCTGTAAAGGAGGAAACGAAATGAAAACAGATTTTATTTTGGAATGTGTGTGATCTTACCCTTTGTCTTCGTTTCTCTTCGGCCTCTTTGGATTTTTTCAGAACTTTTGGAGTCACCGCCACTGTAAAGGCATGTGCTGGTTTCCGTTTTTCCATTAGTTGATGATGGGCATTGAAATTTGGCACGGGTCTTGAATGGAATTCACGTCGTTTGCGTTCCTCTTCCTCTCGTCGGCGTTCAGCTTCTTCACGTTTCTTCTGGTAGAGATCTTTCACCAAATACGCCTGCGGTGGGGGTGGCATATTTTTGGAAACTGCACCCTTGGAAGAGCCAGCTGTTGTATGGCATTTTTTGGTGGCTGGTTTTTGTGTCGACCACTGGCATACCAAATTCAATTTGGGTGCCAAATGTGTTTGTTGCACAGTCTTATCTAAATGAGACTCCGGCTGTTCATTGTCAGTATAGTCGTGGTTGTGGTTTTGAGTTGCTTCATCTTCCGGCGATGTTACCAACTCCTCTCTCTCCGTCTCTTCATTATGGCTGGAGTTCAGGGAGCAGTTGATGTTTTCTTTGTCCTCCAGCTGTTCCTCCTCACCTGTGATGGTATTGTCATGTTTTTCAATTTTGTAAATGACACACTGTTCCTCAATGTCTGTCAATTCTGTTTTGGCTGTGGGGAAAGGCGAATTTCCATAAAAAATGTATTCTAAACTTATTCTTTACCCAAAATTTTCTTACCCATTTCTTCCTGCAATAGTGCCATGTCCTCCAGTCTCTCGTGTTCATAATGTTTATAAGCTAGAAACAAGGGAAATATTGAAAAATTAACGGTTGTTTTGGCGCAAATTAATTTTCCTTTTTTTTGTTACATACCAAAAAAGTTTTCCGAATGATCCAATTCCTCGTTTCCTACCTCAATGGCGTCCCAATCATATTTCACCTCAGGCATTTTTACATTGAAATAGGCCATAATTATTGATTGTGATATTTTTTGTTTATATAAAAAAATAATTCCAATGATTTATTATACTTGCAATGACAAAGTAAAACAAATACGAGCAAACAATGACAAGATGCCGCGAACACGAAATATCAGTTTAAAATGCGATGGCGATTTACAAATTTCTAAACACACATACAAATAAAGGTATTGATGAAGATGGTAATCGATAGTGGGGTACTTGGTTGAGTAGTTGGTGTTGATTATCGATAATACTGGATGCAATTAGTGGTTAACGTAACGTAGTGTCGTCGTTTGATACTTTAAACTCATCACAAGCATTGGATTTTTGGATTGGAAAGGGGTGGATTTTTTTAAATAAGGCGTGGATTTTTTAAAGAATATTTTTCAGGGAATATCCTAAGGCGTGGATTTTTTTAAAGAATATTTTTCAACGACTATCCTAAGGCGTGGATTTTTTATAGAATATTTTTCAACGACTATCCTAAGGCGTGCATTTTTTAAAGAATATTTTTCAACGACTATCCTAAGAAGTGGATTTTTTAAAGAATATTTTTCAACGACTTCCTAACACGTGGATTTTTAAAGAATATTTTTCAACGACTTCCTAACACGTGGATTTTTTAAAGAATATTTTTCAACGACTTCCTAACACGTGGATTTTTTAAAGAATATTTTTCAACGACTTCCTAACACGTGGATTTTTTGAAGAATATTTTTTTAAAGATAAACAAAATTGATTTCAATGTAACAATCATGGCAACCCTAGTCACAGCTGATTTCATATTTATATAATGGCGCCAGATAAGCTTTTCAGTCAGTTTTGTTTACCAACATACAACACTCCTTACCTCTTCGTGTAAAAAGGTCCTGGTATATCCTGCACAAAATGAAAAAAGCTTTTCCTGACAATGAACGAGTCCTTCAACAACGTGTTGCATTGTCAACATACCCAACCAAAGTGTGAGGTGGTGTGGCATGGTATGGTATGCTGCAAGGTATATTTAATAAGGTAGCCGCATCGGGCCAGCTGTTGGACAAATAAATGTCAAAAATGTTGTTGTAATGTTGAACCAAAAAATTAAAAAACAAAATTATAAATGAAAATCTCCGAATTTCTAATAGCTTTTTTGGCAATACTTTTATTAACAGTTTCTACAAGAATTTGTGTAAAAAAATCTTGCCAATCTGTTTGTTTTGGCAAAATATTTTTGACATATCAAAATACAACAACCGATGTTTGTTGCAGAAATTCGCCGATGCGGCTACCTTGTATATCTACCTTGGTATGCTGTTACAACATTTCAATCAGCTGTATTTAAAATCAGTAACGGTTTGGACAAGGTATATTTAATAAGGTAGCCGCATCGGGCCAGCTGTTGGACAAATAAATGTCAAAAATGTTGTTGTAATGTTGAACCAAAAAATTAAAAAACAAAATTATAAATGAAAATCTCCGAATTTCTAATAGCTTTTTTGGCAATACTTTTATTAACATTTTCTACAAGAATTTGTGTAAAAAAATCTTGTCAATCTGTTTGTTTTGGCAAAATATTTTTGACATATCAAAATACAACAACCGATGTTTGTTGTAGAAATTCGCCGATGCGGCTACCTTGTATATCTACCTTGGGTTTGGAAGTCAATCGCAACAGGTCTTTCGCCCAACAGTTCGGTTAATCAAAAAGTTGATTCGTCAATGTCTACGTACGTACGTGTGTGTGCCTGAGATTTTGGAAATGCAAACTTCCAAATTTGTTGTCCATTGAACGTTAAATGGAATCATTTAAAGCTACATTAAGTGAAAGACGGTTTGTTGTTTTTCCTGGATTCCCGTGCTAGATGTTAACAAAAGTAAAAAACCTACCCCATTTTTTGTGGACTTACAATGGTGTGATAGATGGGTGGAGTGAAAGAAGTGTTGAAATATTACATTAGTGGGCTTTAAAGCAAATTTGTATTCCAAAAAAGATTTCATCTTCATGGACTGCTATTGTTGTTGTCGTTTGCCAGAACAGAAACAGATATTGTTTGAATATCATTTCGAGAATTGTTTACAATTTGTATTCAACTACTGCTACTACTACGTTTGCTGGTAAATTAATTAAGGAAAAGCTGTAATACATATCTGATGTGTAATATATGTGCATTATCCTGGAGACACATGCTTCTGGTGGATTAATTTAAGGTAAGTTGAAACAATTATGATTTTTGAACAGTAATTATTGTTTTATGTTTACTTTAGATTTGAGGTATAATTGCGTTTATGCCAATGAATTTGCAGAATAATCGTAGATTTTTCAAGGCAACTTTCGAAACGGCCTTATATTTCAAAATTTAGGATATAATAAAGGCTCTCCTTGAACGTGACCCTGATAGCACTGTGCTACAAAATAACAAAATTTTTTTTTCAGGGGTTCTAATGTACCAATTCTGTTTATTTGGAGTCTCTGGACCACGAAAATACCTTTGTTTTTTCTGGGTCACTTCGAAAATTTATTTTATAACGGTAAATATAGAGAAAAACGTGGTTTCATGGATTTTCAATTTAAAACTCGAATAACTTATTTACTTTTTAACAGATTTATATTATTCTTTTTTTTCTTTCGAAGAGTACAATTTTTCCTTTCAAACAAGATATATACTTGGTAAATCGGTTGAGGATTGGCTGAGTTACAGCGGTTGAAATGTGAAAAAATACGTATAAAATGACAAAATTTACTTTTCTTCGGGCTGTACGATGAAATTATGGCATCAAGCCATATAAGTTTTATTGTATTACGGGGAAGAAAATTAAATTAGCTTTCGAAGATGATAAAAATCAGAAAAATCGGTTAAAAAATGGATGACATACACATTTTTGTATTGATTCTATGCATATTCTCTAAAGGAAATATGGGTCTGTATCTTTTCCTGTTATAAACCGTTATGTTTGCAACAGGCAAAAGGAAACGAGATAGACCCATAGTTCCTTTAGAGAATATGCATACAATCAATACAAAAATTTGTATAAGTCATACATTTTTTAACCGATTTTTCTGATTTTTATCATCTTCGAAAGCTAATTTAATTTTCTTCCCCGTAATACAATAAAACTTATATGGCTTGATGCCATAATTTCATCGTACAGCCCGAAGAAAAGTAAATTTTGTCATTTTATACGTATTTTTTCACATTTCAACCGCTTTTCGAAAGAAAAAAATAATAATATAAATCTGTTAAAAAGTAAATAAGTTATTCGAGTTTTAAATTGAAAATCCATGAAACCACGTTTTTCTCTATATTTACCGTTATAAAATAAATTTTCGAAGTGACCCAGAAAAACCAAAGGTATTTTCGTGGTCCAGGGACTCCAACTAAACATATTTGGTACATTAGAACCATTGAAAAATTTTCGTGTCGCACAGTGTAGTTATTTCTGATTATTAGACAGTATTAAAATGTTCAATCCGAATTTCAAGAATTTCCAGAGGGAGATTTTCTAAAACACTAACAAAGCGTGAACTTAAAAAATGTTTTAAATATCAATGGTGGAGTTTTTTATGTAATGTCACTTGTTAATATTGGTCCCAAATATTAAGTTGGTGAAAAATAAATCCATTATTTTTTCAGCAGATGGCTATACTGATAGATTTCTGTATAGTATCGATCAAACAATTTCAGATTTATGCTCGTTGGTTTTGCTGTTTTTTTTTTTGGTGCATTCAGTTGTGAGTTACAGTGTGTTAAAAATGGAAGTGAACAAAAAGAAAATTCGTTACATGTTATAGCTTTTCTTTGACAAAGGCGAAAATGCAATCCAAGCGGCTAAAATTGTGAATGCTATTTATGGTTCCGATACTGTAACAGCTAATTATGTGCAATTTAGGTTTCGTAGATTCCGTTTAAAGCCATGGAAAGTTCCTCTCGGAGCCATTTAGTACCGAACGAGGATTCAGACAAGGTGCCAATTTGACGTGTGACTTTTTACATCCTGCTGGAAAAGGTCATACGAAAGGCAAAGGTGAATAGAAATGGAACTCTGTACTCCAAACAGCACATGTTACTCGCCTACGCCGACGACATCGATATAATGGGTCGAACATTGCGAGCAGTAACAGCCACCTTTGAACAAATTGAGAAGGAGTCTGCCAAAGTGGGTCTGGCAGTAAACGGCGAGAAGACCAATCTGGTGGTATCAACGCGCAAGACGTCCAGTAGACTCCGACCAACTGAGGATGTTGAGAACTACAGTTTTTACGTTGTTAAGGATTTTATATACCTTGGTACCGCCATAAATAAAACTAATGACATCCGTTTTGAAATTCGGAGAAGGATAGTGTTGGTCAACCGATGCTACTATGGTCTGAG